CAAGTAGCATATTCTGTATATAACTCAATGCTTATACTGAAGCAGACGGGAACAAAACCTTAACATAAATCAAAAGAATTAATGTTTTTTAACTCCATTTAGAGGCAGTTATGGCATAACCAGATGAAATTTATCAATTTTTGAAAAAATTTATGTGTTATTTTTATAGCTAGCTAGGGGGTCTAGTAAGATTTTACTGTGAAAATAATGCAATCAGGGAATATTCCTGATGTCCTCAATTTTTAATTGTATTTACCAACTACGACTTTTTGAGTCCCAAACTCAAAAATACCCATTAAATAAAGGTTTCAAAAAGTCCGAATAAGATTGAAAGTTAAGTTTATAAGTATCTTTGGCTTCATTCAGTTGACTAAATACTCTACAGGTGAAATATGGCAACCCACTAAAAAAGCTTGCCGTCTAACCCGCTAATTACAGGGGCGGATTTAGGCCTTAGTCTTCTGGGTCTTCTGGAAGACGGTCAGATTTTCAAGTTTACATTGAAGGGTATCTATTTTTTTCTGTTGGAAGACGGTCAAAAATTGAGGATGGGTCAATAAAGATAACTTGGAAGACTGTCAGAAAATATCTCTGGATCCACCCCTGAATTATACACACTGAAAGAATTCCCCGTGGGGAAGTATTCCCTGTGGGTCGGCCATATTTGACCCTCAGACTAGTTAGTCCACTGTTCTGAATACGGCCTTTAACAGTGTACTTTAACCAAACAGTGCAGCTGTAAAACAAGAAGCAGATCACACTGTTGACAGAACTCTACAAGGCACAGTTTGCACCTGCTGAGACAGAATGTAACTTCGCAGCAGAACCATGTTGGCATAGTTTGTTTTGATTGGAGGACAGATCTGGGTGGTGATACACTGTGAAGTAATGGTCCCTCTGTCTAGAACCATGCTGTTCTTGTCAATTTCTTAGAATTTCTTTTCTCTTTATTTTGCTGTGTACCCTGGAGTCTTATTATTGGCAGTATATCATCAAATGGCAGGGTATTATTTTGAAAAAGAGAACCTCTTCACCGTGTTCACATAGAACCAAGTTGAAATTAAGATTTCTAAACTCCTTGCAGTTTGTAGTTTTTTTAGTTCACTAGCTGTTTTATCACCAATTGAGGGCATGGAGAGAGCGTATGGCATTACAAATTGGCTTTTCCAGACATCATTGTTTTAACTTCATTGGCTAGTAATGTCAGTCAGTTTAACAGTGTTACATCTGTGAAAACTGGAGGACAGTGGACACCTTGCTCAGAAATTTTGGGGGACAAACTTCTCACTAGTCCCCCCCCCCCCCCCAAAAAAAAAAAAAAAAAAAAAGAATTAAGCTCTCAATGACACTTCNCCCCCCCCCCCCCCCCCAAAAAAAAAAAAAAAAAAAAAGAATTAAGCTCTCAATGACACTTCCTAATTTTTAATAGTGGGTAATAACATGCTTAAAATCAAATTTGATGGGACATGCGAGGATTTAAATTTTTTTAAAAATCTGTTGGTTTTTAGTCAAATGTTTTTACTAAATACACCAAATTGACAAAAAAAAGTCATTTATTTGGAAACTTATCATAAAACTTATTTTAAAACTTTTAATATTGACTTTTTCCGTCAAGTTTATTCAATAAAATAATAAAATGTTATTCATATGCATCTGACATTTTGCCATGACTTGATGTAAAAAAATTAACTTTAAACAAAGTTTCGATGGACATTTTGTTTTTAGTTTTGTGCCATTAGCAGCAGGATGCCTCAGAATGAGAGACACATTGTTTTCAATGCAGGAATGTTGCAATGGCGCAGGCCAGATGTAACACTGGTTTGGAAGAGCTGTATTACATGTAAATGACAGTGTATATTTTACAATAGGAAAATGAGAATCAGGTACGGGCAGTTAACTTAATGCTGGCACTGATATGACAAAAGGCGCTCATAAAAAAGAACTGCATCACACTTTGTTTGACCAAATGTCAACAAAATTTTGAAATAAATGTAGTCAACAATGCATCTAAGTGCTGCAAATTGTGTCATTTGTTGCTGTGATGAATTCAGACTATATTAACACACAATTCCCATGCTAATGCCTACAACCATTCAGCTTTAATTGGTTAACAAATGCTGTTGGTAAAATCTGTCTGGCAGGAGGCAATGGTGTCTGGCTGCCTTAGACCCCATTTCCAGAGATTAGATCGCTCTACTTTAGATCGACCTAACTTCCTGGGGGTTCACGCTAAATAGCTGTCAGCTGGGCGGACACGAAAGTTAATTACCCCCTTACAGCTTGTAGTAGGCGGGATGGACATTTAAGCCGAATTATCTGACAGTAATCTAGTGAGACTCCCCGCGGGGATAGATCGATCTAAAATCTCTGGGAATACAGCCATAGTCTTAGATATGTCTTTAAGCATTGTCTCCAGCTTGGTGGAACTTCATCTTGCAGGTTTATATCAGTATATCTATTAGAAAATTATCCCTGGGTGTGTTCTAAGTAGAACAGCCCTGAGCCGAGCAAAATGTCACTTTCCATGAGTAATCTTAGCAATAATGACGTACACGTACCAGGCACTGATACAACAGTATTGAAACCAATCAATTCTCAGCTTTTATTTGAGCATTGTTAGATCTGATAATGAGCAGTAATTCATTCTATGATTTAGAAGTCTTCAAAAGCAATCTTAAAGTTCAAATCAGAATTTTTTATGTATTGCAGTTTCAGAACAATTAATAAATGTTGTGTTTAAAATTAATATTTGTGTGACATTCAAGTAATTAAAAGAAATTTAATATGAGATACGGACATGATTTTTTTTTTTTTTTTTTTTTTTGGTGGTAA